GAAGGATTTGAGACTAACAATAGTGCATAATCATCAGCATAAAAGCCCAAAAATATCTTCACATCATGTTCGGTACGTTCATAAGCAAAATCTTTTTGTTTTGTACTTAAGAATTTCTTTTTTTTATTTTGCGCATTTTTTTTTTTTTTTGTTACCCAAACATATAAAATCTTTGTAATATTTTTTATTCTTCTTTAACTACAACTACTAGATGGATGTGTTCGAAGACGTTTTTACCATTTTGATCAATAAATCTCTATGCTTTTTGGAACGAAGTTTCTTTGCTATATATATATAGCGAGAGAGAAACAACAAATAGAGAAGTTATAGTTTTTAAAGTAAAGAAAACATTTTTATAGTCAAATTGAACAACAGTATGTGCGTTTTTTTTGTTTTATCTGTTACATAAGTTGAAAGATAAGTGATATTAGCGAATTGTTTGTACTTGGTCTATGATTTATTGAAGTTATTACAAGCGACAGGAGTTTTTTTTTTATCACCAAAAGTGTCCTCATTGTACACACGGTGAGTTTTTTACTGTACCACTTCGCATAGAAGGGTCGAAAAAGTCATTCAGTTTCATATCGTTAAAAAAGTTCGAAGCACCGTCGACTTCAAATCTACTTTTATTTTCAGTACAATTACTCTCATTTATTGATGATCAGTACAATAGAAAGATGAAAGATAGTGCATAATATATGACATAGTTGAGAGTACATACCAAGATTCAATATTTACAGAATGTTTTTTTTTTTTGATAGGAAGAAGAGCGATTTCCCAATGTTCTAGGCACAAAAAGTTTACCAGAAGCTTATTAACTTAAAAAGAATATAGGTGAATGTGATATGTATATAGTCGATAGAATAGAAACGGCTACGTGCCAGTTTGATAAGAATATTTTGTAAAAATAATTTAAAAACTCTCACTAACAATTCTTTACTTATGTCCTTGTAGTAAATGTAAAGAATGAGGATGGGTAGTCTAGTTTTTATGAAACTCCTTTAGTATCTTCAAAGGAGAAGGAGTTGAAGTTTTATACTCGAAAAGCCTTGATTTTGACCTATTTTTTAACCTCCCCCCTTCTGGGTGTATTCCTCTCAATAGAGTAGTGTAATGATCTTATTCAGGAGGGATATTCACCTTAACAGATTGGTGTATCCCTCTCGATAGGGTAGTGTATTCATCTTAAACGACAGCACCAATATTCGTTACTCCTCTATATTAGTGTACACTATTCCCAATACCATCTCTCGGCTAATGTAGAGGACTTTCACCATTTTAGCTTCATAAAGGGCTGCCCTAACAAGGTTTTTTTATCTTCAATATTTTCAAACTCTATTTGACAAAATCGTCTTAGAATACCGCAATTAGTATTTCTGTTTAACCTATCTGGTTTGCTCTAGTTCAAGTTCATGAGACTCTCCTAAGATAAAGTCCATCTACTTTTTCTTAAAAGTTCTTCTCAAAAGTTTTAGAATAATAGAGTTAATCATACGAAGCATGGCTATTCTTTCGAACTTCGATAAAAATAATAAGATTTTTAAAGTGAACTGCTATGTTAGTCATGTAACGAATGATGTGTATTTCTGAAAGATAAAAAGTTACAGTTTTGTTAAGAAAATCGATCAGTGAGAAAACGGTCTTTAGAACCTTGGCATAACATTCAACGATATAACCGTATATATAATAACGGATCGCCCTAGATCAGTGAAAATTTTACGAAACACACAAATACCATTTGTGTATAAACTGAGTTAAAGTAGACGTTTCATCATGGGACTATCTATTGTGTGAGATTATCAATTGTGTTACGAAAAGCCATCTCGAATTTAAGATTCGATTTCGAATCGTTCGTAGAACCTACAATTATTGTTTACAGATTTATTGTAAATTTACCTAACAGAAAATTACTTTAAAAAGCGACATTTTACGTGTAATTAAATGTAGTGTATCAAATTGACTATATGATAAAATTTTCGCATTGTAGTTATTGAGTTAAATACCACTTTTTGTTTAATAGTTAGGCCCTTGAAAATAAAACAGAATTTTATTGACTACATTTTTACATAGAATATTTGCTGTGTACAGTTTGTACAAATCTATATATTAGTCAAATTGTCATAAAAGCAGCAAGTCTAGTTTTCAAGTGAAGTTAATTATTCTAATGCTCACATCGACTTCTTTTTTTTTATTATAATTTCACCTGTTTTAATATTTTTTCTTAATATTCTAGTATGAACTTAGAAATATGTATATTTTTCTTCGTTAACATAAAAAAATCCTATATATAGAAGTTCTTACACTGTATATTGACAATATGTTGTCTTTTCTTCTCATACATTTATACATATCTCTATATTCTTAATAAAATCCATGATAGATCGTTCATTGAATACTATGTGCTTCTCGTATTTTCACAAATGAACAAAATTTTCTTCTCTTCTTCTTTTACCCGTCATCGTTGTCTGTTATTTTTTTTTTTTTTTGTTGTTGTTTAAATGCATATCCTTATCCTATTATTTTTCAACTTTCAAGACATTCTAAGATTACAAGATTTTTTTCTCAATAACACAGTAACAGATTCTTTTCGTACTAATGTAGCAATTTATTAGTTTATTTGTTGAAAACAGTTCACAGATTTCGAATAATTGAATAAATAAATTTCTGACAAGAACAAGATTGAATGAAATTATTAATTAAAATATTAATTAAACGAATTCTCCTGTGATATTATGAACAAAATAAGAATATGATGTATTTGTAAACATAAATTTTCTCATAAATTTTATGTACTCTCAGTCGAACAAAAATTATATTTATAGAGAAGATCTCGATTTCAATGTTTAAAAATAAAGTAAAATGGTTTACCTTATATTTTCTCTATGACTGTATAATCTGTGTAGCATTTTTAAAATTATGAACATTTTCAGTTTTTGTTCTAGCTGTACTAGTGGTAGTAAATTTTATTCATAAAGAAGAAAAAAAAAAAAAGAAGAAAACTCTGAAAAATATTATCTACAATAAAATGTCACTCCACTGTACAAGTTCAATCAATATTCGCTTTTTTTGTGTTATTTGTCCCAAAAGATTCAATGATATAGAATGAGACTATCAAATATTTTTTTGATTAAGTTTTTCTTTTATCAATATCTTCGCACGCATTAAAATAACAACAGAGAGATTTTCGTTTTGTTATCGTTGCTAAACAACGTTATTTATCGTTTTTTATTAAATTAGCTAACAACGAGATTAGGATTCTTTTCAACGTACTAGTAGCATAAACATTTTTTCATCTTTAATGATTTTAAATGATATCCTTGAATTTTGAGTGAATCTGTCGTATGATATATATCAAAAGAACAGAAAAAAGAATAAAAAACAAAAAAAAAAAGAAAAATTCTCTCGTCTCTCATCTTTCTACTATATGTATGTACAATAAAGTTTGAAATTTTCTTGTTAATCATGAAGAAGAAGATGAAGGAAGGACGAATGTGTTTAACAATATTTATTTTAGTTTAGTACTCAAAAGTATTTAAAAAAAAAATTTTTTTTTTTCTGGAAAATTTTTTTTTTCCCCTTTTCCTGAGAATAGCTGACTATGTTGTACGTTTATATGCAAGCTATATTAGTTATTCGCCTTTTCCTCTTCTAGTATCTGTTTAATACAAGATTGATATTGTATATATATATTGTTTAAAAAATAAAAATAAAAAAATGGTAAGGAATAATTTTTTTTACTATCCTCATCTGGTTCGAAATCATATAAGTACAGATGAATGTTTTTCATTTCTTTTATTATTGAACCATACTACTAGAATTGTTATTGTAAGTTCTTTTTTTTTTTTACATCGTGATACAATAAAAATATAAGCTACACTTTGGAATAGCAAACTGAGAGAAGATTCATTATTTTTTATTTTTTATTTTCTTGGATTCTTTAATCCTTGTTCAAATCAGGAACATACAATGTTAACATGAAAGAAAATTTAGCGTTAAGAAGAGTACAGGCACATCTTTTTTTCTACGTTTTTGTGGCTGGCTACTTTTCCGATCGAAGAGTTGATCATTTAATTATAAGTTAAGAGGGAAAAAAACTCAATTTGTATTTATGATGGTCTTTTTTTATGTCTTACAATAAATGAGAATGCAAAAATTTATCGTCATTAACTGAATGTAAGTGGACGGAATCTTTCTGAGTTCTAACACTGTTGACTATCGCATGATATCGATCTAAGTACCATTTGTCTCATGATTAACGAAAACTGCAAAACAATGGACAATATTATAGATCTATTTTTGTGTATATATATATAGTTCGAAATACCATCTGTTGCAAAATTGAAAGTATACATACATATGCAGAGTAAATGCCAGAGTCTAAAAATTTTTTTTTGTTTCTTCTCATGGAGATTATCATCGAAAGACACGTGTACAATAGCTATATGATGTATGTAGAAATATAGGTTGATTTGTTTTTTATAAACATAAATCGTTCATATAGATCAGCAACTTTGTATCTGCTTCTTGGCAGAATGTTACTCCTATGTATAAGTGTTGAACGTATCAATTCAAAAAATGTTTTACAAAAAATTTTTTCAAAAGTAATGAAAAATATGAACTGTCAATCGATTTTGTCCGAATAAGGGTATACAATTTTTGGATCTGGTGATATATTTTGTATATACAGTTTAGTATACATCTTTACTTTAATTTTCAAGATTTTTCTCAACGATGAAACAATGTTTAATATGATACTTACAGGTTTTGTAGAAAAATAAATTATTTGTCGTCTGCTAGTAAAATGGTGCTGTTTAGACTTTGTTTTTATGCACTCACTATCCATTGCGTTAAATGAGTGAAAAGGTGAACATGTCGCCGTGTTTTCAGTCAGAGTGAGGGACAAATAATCTTCTTTTCCTGATAATACTATCAAACTTTGTTATTAATCTAGCTCAACAACTTATTTTAGATGTATCTCTTTTTTCTTCTATTAAAATAAGATGGATGGTGCTACTGCTTACATTTGTCCGATATGTCCATTCAATTGTGACAATTTACCAGATTTAGAACATCATATTAAAGGTTAACGCTTTGTATTGAAAATGTAATTATTTTATTACTATTGTCGTTCTTCTTCTAGTTCATGAGAATGATGATAGCCCAGCATTACCACAACAAGAAATTGTTAAACAAAAAGTTCGAAATCAAAAGCCATTGTGTGTAAAATCAAATTCAACAAAAGATACTGTAAGTTCGATTCCAAAAAGTAACATTTACCTCACACATAGTTTCTTAATTAATGAAACCTTAAAGTATTTCAATACTGGAACAATCCTGGATTAAAAAAATTTCCGATATTACTTGTTGATAACACATGAAATGACACATTATGAAGTAGAAATTCTTTTCACCTTTGAATAACCAGCTATACATGTGAAATTTTGTACATGCAATCTCATCGAGTCGACTAATCATTTATGAGTGTACTCATTATCATGTCGCATGAAGCAAAACTGTTTGCTTCTTTAAAACTAGGATCAAAGCTTGAAGTTATTACTGTCGAACGCATCTGCCTTGACATCTACTGAATATATCCATATCTACCTATCTGCAGCAACCAGAGCTGGAACCGGTCCGATAAACCAGTACCGGACCGGTAGAGACCGGTATTTCACCGGTTGAAACTTTTGAAACATCTGCCCTTTTAATCCTGTTTTTCGTCAAAAAATTAAAATTTTACATCTTTTTCAGTCAGAATAAATAAGACAGATATTATTTTCTTCACTTGTTTTACGGTTAAATATTACAGACTCGTTATTGTGAAGGTTCTCTCATATGTGGTTGCAAACTATCTCATTTCTGGGGGGAAATTCTTTCTGAAAATCGATTTTCAAAAAACCTCGCCAGTTTTTCACCGGTATGCTACCGGTTTTCCACCGGTTTAAGTTATAATTCCAACCGGTCCGGTTACACTTTCAGACCGGCCGGACCGGACATGTTTCTCAACCGGTTCCAACTCTGGTAACAACCTTCTCAAAAGAATTTGGTAGATGATCTGGCAAATAACATAAACTAAAAAGTTCTATTCTTTCTTTTCTTGTCTCCTTTCTCATTTCTCTCTATTGTGTTTTGTAAACTGTTAATGTTAATTCGACTTAATTTGGTGCGTTTCTTTTTTTTTCTCTGTTTAATTTTACATCTTATTCTATAGTGAGGACTATGATAATTCTGTTGAACTCACTTTAAATAAAATCCATTTAAATCAAATAGGAAATTTACGAATACACGTAGTTGAGAATGATTACAATTTTATCGAAAACTTCATGTTTTCGAATAAAATTTTAAATTAATAGTTGTTGAACTCGCATGATCAGTGAGAATGTGTCTGAAGATAAAACTGCACTAATTTGGAAAAATGATCCAGCCAAAGTATTGAAAATAAATTTTTAATCTTAAGCAATAATGAAAGCAGAATCATCGTTTTCACGTTGTTATTGTTGCCATTTTCCTTTTTTAGCAATCGGTCAAAAATACAATTCCACATTTTCCTATACCATCAACATTACCATCAATCAAAACATATGAACGACGTTATTCATGTAAATCATGCACATTTTTAACGCATAGTTCAAAGGCCTACTTTAAACATCGTCAAGAACAACATAATGAAATATTAATTATTACTGAATGTCCACACTGTGATTATGCTTCACAATATCCCGGCAAAGTGAAAAAACACTTACATGAAGCGCATCGTTTTGTTGGTAAACACCTCTGAACACAATCGAGAAGAATTAGTGTAGCATTTCTAATCATCTTATTGTTTTAGATAGTAAAAACGGTGGATTATCTGTTCCATTTGTTTCAGTTTCAAAAACTGAAAATGGTTCTGCTTCTAAACGTAAAAGTCGTACATCATTGCCAATTACAACACCATTTCTTTCGAAGAATAAAAATGATAATGCAATTGGTATGTTTTTTCAATCATATTTATTCAAGTATAACTAATATATCCTATTTATTTCTAGCACATGCTGTTAAATTATCACTACATCATCTCTCTCCATCACCATCAGTTTCTACTCGAAAATCTGTTCCATTAAACGGTGTATTTATTAAACAAAAGCAACTTGATACGCCGGACTATCGTTCAAAGTCAACATCTGTATGGATATCTGATTGTCCTTATTGTACATTTACATCACATGATCAACAAATATATCGAGAGCATGTCTTAAATCATTTAAGAGATAAAAATTTTCGTTGTTTAATATGTACGTGCCACTAGCTTTTTGTCCATAAAGAAAGAATATTAGAATATTTTATTTTTATTCATTTAGGTAATCGTTTATATCGTCATCGTGGCGATTGTTCGTTTCATTTACGTCATAAACATGCTGAATACTCAGATCGTAGTAACGGTGATAATTTACGTGATTATGTTGTCGATTTTCATCCACAAACAATGACCTTTTCACAGATAAAAGATTTGTTGAATCAATCACCTCTTACAAGTTTAGAACAAATACAAGCGACAATAATAGCATCAACTCGAATTCAACCACACGCGTCAATGTATAAATGTGGTTATTGTCAATTTCAGTCACAAAATTCTGGTGATGTTAAAAAACATCAAACATGGAAACATTGTCAATTAGCATCAAATATTCTACCAGTTTTCAATACTCCCTCAACAGCTACTGAACAATCAATAACCATGTCATTGAAACGTAAACGGGAAAATAGTGAAAATAGTAACAATGATGTTAACAATGAAATAATAAAAAGAAAGACCCAAAGTCCGTCAAATCAACAACAAGATCAAATATCAACAATTATGGATAATCCATCATTTATACGAACAAATGTCAATGGATCAGCTTCATCAGCAAAAGGTACAGAATACAAGTGTTTTAATAATCTATATTACTTTTCTCGAAAGTAGCTGTGATAAATGCATACATGTTTGTATATCTGAGCCATATGATATATATAAAATGTAAAGTTTTTGTTAAATATTTTCAGATTCAAATCATAATGGTAATGGTACTTCACATAGTCCAATTAATTATGAATGTGAAATGTGTCCATTTCATACAACAAATCCTGAACGATTTAATGCTCATTTAGTCGTACATCGAACGGGTGCCCGTGTTTATAAGTGTCTATATTGTGATCGTCTTGGACATTATAAATGGGTCATTGAACGTCATATTAAGACAAAGCATAAATTTGAAAAAATTGTACGAGCCATTGAAATCGATGTTAAACCATTACAGCAACAACAAATTCCATCATCTTCGTCAGCGGCAGTCACTGATCAACCAATGAAAACGTTCCGATGTTCGGCATGTTCTCTACAATCGTATCACTCATGGGTTGTTCTAAGACATATTCGACATTTCCATAATTTAGAATCAGCTCATATTATCGATAGTTTTAATCAAACAGTGAATGGTGAGACTGTAGAAAAGAATAATCAGACGGTAGACGAACAACAGCAAGAAATGGGTAAGCACCTAAGTGAAAGAACATTGTGAGAAACTTGTTACGTATATATCACAGGTTTTGTTTCGCTCATGGTCAGTCATATTGAATGTAATACTCTTTCAGGTGTTGAAAATTCATCCTACGATCAAAATGGAATACAACTTGATAATGCCGGTGAAAATGATTTGTCAGATGAAGATGACAATGAAGAAATGTTGAGAAAATTAATAAAAACAGCTGTTTCAACTCGAAATCATAATCAAAATCATCAATCACCACCAAAATCAATTAATGATCCATTATCAGCGTTATTCGCCAATACTTCTGGCGATACAACACATAATTTGTCAACATCATTACAAACATTATTAGGTCAATTGACAAATGGTAGTAGTTGCAGTATTAGTACAAGTGAACAAAGTAATAATAAATCGATCGTTAAACGTTACAAATGTTCATTGTGTGATCATGCATCAGCATGGTGTGGAAATGTACGTAAACATCTACGACGAATGCATCCTGGTGTGACTAATGGACAAGTGATCGACATTTCACAAGAACAAGATTCATCATCTTTGTCATCAACAACAGCATCAACAACAAATGGACATAGAAAACAAAAAATTAAAGGTTTGTTAACAAAAAAGGCAATATCAACCGCTGAAAAACTTCAGAATGGAAATCGTTCAAACAATGATGACGAGGTTACTAAGGTAAGAAGACAAACTTTATTTTTAGACTTTAAAAAGAATCTGAACGATCAGTATGTGATACTCGAATGAGTAATTATTGTTTGTTCCAGGTTTGTGATGATTCAATCTCGCCCTCACTCTCCTCATCAAAAAAATTGAAAGATATTGATAACAAAACGAACGATACTGATGTTAAAACAACAACAGCATCATCTTCTATCCAGCAACAACAACAACAACAACAGCAACAAAATAATCAACCACCTTGTTTATATTCTTGTTCAGGATGTTCATATTCTACATCAAATTTTCAATTTTTAACTCGTCATGTTGATTTACATTTATCCGATGGTGGTTTTCAATGTTCACAATGTTTATATTTATCAAAATGGCGTGCAAGTGTTCGCAAACATATGATTAGTACACATGGAAGTTCATTTGCTTCATTAGCTAATACTGTTGAACCGTTACAAGTTCACAAATATGAGCATGCTATGATCTATGTTCAATCTTGGATATTAGATGGTCAAACAAAAGATCAAAACCATTTTTATTGTATCTATTGTCCATATGAAACACGGAGTCACGAATACTTTCATCAACATGAATTAAATCATCGAGAAAATTCTTCATCAACCATGATATGTAAATTTTGTTCATATAATATCGATGATAATGAACAGTTCTTAGAACATGAATTATTACATACGAATTATACGCGAACATTATATCAAAATAGTAATGATCATGATAATGAAAATATTACGTGAAAAGTCAATAATCGATAATTTTGTTCTGTCATTAACCGACTATGTTAGTGTCACAGATGTAATAGCGGTTTGTACGCAGATTATTAACTACAAACCGTCATTCTTTGTTAAAATTATTATTAAAAAAACTTAAATATTTCTTCAATACGGTGATATCTATCGATACAAGTATACCAATGATCGATCCTCGGCTAACAATTAAAATTCATCGAACACTTCCAAAACTGTTCAGTTTTAACATGCAACACTTGATGTTTTACTTTTTTTCAATACTCTGCTCGAATGATAACATTAATTTTTTTTGTTTCTTTTTATATGTTTGATAAATGAACGGTGTTCATCAGTTGTATACATGTAATACGTTTTCATTTCTCTCTGCTTTATTATTTTTATGTAATGTGTATATGTTAGTTAATTATTCATTTCTCTCTTTTTGTTCGATAAATTCTCTTGTTTTATTTACTATTTTGAAGTTTCATTTTGTTTTGCTATAACTTCTACCCAAAAAAAAAACACAATCATACGCAACACTCCATTTCTAGTCATCAAAAAATATTTTTTATTTGTTCTTGTCTTTTAACGTAATATTATCAAACGTTGTTGGTTTTTTATACTCTTGTGTATGTGTGTATCTTCTCTGTTATAGAAAGACGGATACACAGTTCTTATGAGATTTTTTTGTATGTAGTTAAGGCGTTTGTTTTGTTGTTGTTATTACTTTCGTCTATTATTCTAAAATTTAATAAATGATAGAAAATGTCTTATAGAATAAACTTATCAAGAAAATGAAAATTCATTGCGTGCCATTCTTCATATCTTCTCGAAATTGATAGTCTAGAATAGATAAATTGACGATGAATTTTCTCTTAGTCGTGTTTACCGTGCGATATAGAAGTTTTGTATACAAATATGAGTAAAAAAATTCAGATTTTCTATCAACACAGAATAGAGAATCTTTTTTGATAGTTAACAGAAATTGAGTTTTTATCGCCAACGAAAAAACGCAAATGTTTTTGAGAAAGAAAAAAAAATACAAGAAAACATACAAGTACAGAAGAAACATTATCTATAAGATTGAACGATGTTGCAATGATAAAAATATAGAGTGAAGGTTTTTGAACGTATTCGTAGAAAAAGTAGGTGTTCCTCGTTCTAGAAAAGTCAAGTCCAGTTTCTACATGTTGTACTTACAAGTGTTAGATAATAATTATTGTTAGTAAAAAGAATTTTTCAAAAAGAAAATTTTCTCGCTCGAAAATGAATACGAGAAAAATTCCTTAAACAGTAGAACGTTTCACTAAAGAAAGAAAATTTGTAAAAAAAATCCATCTTTGTGAATTGAAACTGAAAATTTTTGTAGACAATTATTTCAAGGAGTTTGATGATATTTAAGAGAAATGATATTTGTTATTAGTTTGAGCATTGAGAATGTAAGCGTTATTAGATGGAGAAAATTTCTGAAAGAAAAAAAAATGGAAGAGTTTCGGTTCCAGAACATCGTGATACAACTTCAAAAATTGAACACAAATCTCATCAATGATCACTTATTTTTTAATGAGTGAATCATTGAAATTATATCCGAAACATTATCAGAAAAATGGCAAAGAGTGAAGATGATGAGAGTGATAGAAGCGACTCTTCTCTACAAGGAAAACAGGTTTGAAAAAATAACCTAGTTGACAACACCACCGTTCGTCACATTATTCCTGCGATCTGATCAACATAAAATAAAATAAAAACTTCTCACCAATTCTATGTGCAGAGATAGGCGCTGTATATTATAAGAAACAAAACAATAACTTATTAAGATTAGAAGTAGACTATATGAGAGATCTATTACACAAGGAGTTACAATTATTACGTCGAACAGCATATTTTTTTTTACAACAGAGACAGCGTTACCGTTTGTATCGTCATTGAATACGTGTTTGTGTTAATGAATTGATTAAATGTTTAACATCAAACTTTATTGCTGTTTATCTTTTGAATAAAGATTATCATATTTCGGCATGATGTGCGTAAAATCATAGTTAACAATTATAAAAGATGGATCAGATTTAAATAGTGTTATTAACGCATTATAATAGTTTAGAATTTTTTGTTGAAATTCTCTCAAGATAAATACCATCATCATCATTATTTTCGATCTTGTTTATTGACAAAACGAATCAAACTGTTACCAACAACAAGATGAGTTGATTTAGATTCTGTATTTTGTACTATTATTGTTCGAGTGATGGATGACGATGTATGAGTATTTGTGTCAATAATTGCTTATTGTGAATGAGAAGGCGGTATAAATGAGAATGATAAAGAATCTAACACTAGTTTTATGACAGAGGAATTTTGGAAACAAAGGCGCTTGGCAATAATGTTTGTACAGGTGGAGCCGACAAATGATTTGTTAGCAATCACTTTAATGAGAGAATTTTAATTAGGTGAACGATCGACGATAGACGTTAATTGAGAAAACTCAAAAAAAATCATCATTTTGTTTTTTAATATCATTATGGTTCAGGGTGAATGAAGTGTCTGATTAATGTTGTATCTACATTCTATCATATTACAGTACAATAAGGTCTATGTTGTATTCGGAATATCGGCCGTTTTGTCGACAAGTTATTCATCTCTTTTATTTTCCTATCACTACTAGTATATACATAACGCTGACTTTCTTCAAATAACTTAGAATTTTTCCTTTCCTCGTATATACAAGTGAACAAAACTTGATCGGAGGAAATGGTTCTTAGATTTGGAGTTGATACTCAAGATAATACCATGGTTCTAAGATTTGTACCAAAGACTCAAAACCAAAACAAGCACAAAAACAATATTTCCATTAATGATGAAAAAATAATGTGAAAAAAAATTCCGTGAATGAACCGTTTTTTATCATAAAACGATGCCAGTTCAGCGAGATAGAAACGGTCCTTTAACAGGATGCTACTCGTCTGTTAACGATACCGTTTTTGATGAATTAAATCCTTAAAAGAAATCAATTTACCTTCAGTTTTACTAAAGAAATTCGTTTTTACACCTTCGAACTCGTTCTACCGTCCTTAAGATTTCTTCCGTATTATCCATTGTAAACTAAACAAATTGCACGTTGTTCTCGCAAAACATGTGTTTTCCATTTTATCGCACAAAAATTCCGCTTCGTGCTTGTTTTATAGCTGTTACGAAGAAAACAATGTGTGAAACTGTACAAAAATAAGAAGTAAAAAAATAGTAATCACAAAATACATCATACTAGTCCCATAATTTAACAACACCATCCCATCCAGCTGTTAAAATTTTTGATTTTTCATGCCAGTGCCATTTAGCATCAATACATACATCATCATGTGCTTTAATACGTTCAAATAATCTTGTCGTTTTCCAATCCCAAATAATTAGACGTCCATCAGCATCACCACTAATCACATATGACATATCAGGTGAAAAATCTAAACCACAGGCATAACCTGAAACCTACAATAAACCAAAATTAGTTCAGATAGTTATAAAAGAATGAAAAGAAAATTCTTACCATATGACCTTTAAACACTTTTTTAGTTTTCCATCGAAAATTCGAGCCAGGTTCCATAATTTTAATTTGATTATCCATTGATTGAAATGCAAGATATTTACCTGAATGAAAATAAAATAGGTCAATTAAATTCTCTATTTTCTAGTTTTAAGATTCTACATACCATTTCGTGACAAAGCAACCGCTGGTGTTGAATGCATTGTCGGATCAGCTAGATATTTAAAATCAACAGGTATATCCCTGAATAAAACAATAGATAATAAGATTTATAGATAGTGAACAATTTAAAAATATACCATTCCCAAACACGTATAGATTTATCATCAGATGTTGATACAATTCGACGATTTCTATCAACAAATGTCACTGTATTAATTGCACCTAAATGTCGATCATATTCTTGAACAACATGACCACTGCGAGTATCAAACTAAAATGATGAGAAGAATGAGAATAAGAAGAGGAGTAATATTTAAATTCAAAGAGCTTACACAAACAATTTTTTTATCCGACATTCCAGCTACAAATAAGTGTTGTTTATGTGCATCGGGATTAAATGAAACACAATAGGGAATTTTTCTTGTAGTAAATTTACTTTTCACTTGACCTATAAAATAAGAAAATTATAGTTTGACTATTCAAAAATTAAGAAGTATACATACCCGTTTCTGTATCCCATAATTTGATAAATCTATCATAGGATGCTGATAAAAAATCGGTACCATGATTATTAAAATTAATATCACGTACTGCTTGACTATGACCCATATAGGTTCGAATACAACGACGTTCATTATAGAATTCCCATAGCTAAAAAGAAGAAAACATGATACTATTTTAATGTTAGACAGTGTAATATTGCTTACTTTAATTTTACAATCCATTGAACATGTTAAGAACAAATGTGCTGATACGGGAAAATAATGTATTTTTTGAACACCTTTTGTATGTCCTTTGTAGGTATGTAAACACTGTTTTGGTATAAAACATCTTTGTGGTGGTTCATCAGATCTCAAATTAACACCCACATCTTGTGGTATGTGTAAAAATGATCGTCCTTGATAATCGTATGGATCTTTAATATGTAAAATAGTTTTGTTTGTGTTATCTTCTTCTTCTTCTTTTTGTTCATTAATGCGAGCACGTTTTTTACGTTTTGATAACAATTCATCCAATTCTTTTTGTTCTTCCTATAAAAAATAGCCGAAAAGTTAGTATCCTACTTGTTCTATGCATCATATACTAGAAGAATGTACTTGCAAATTTCAACAGATATTTGACAAATATTTTAGGAACTTGATAGGTGTTTTTAAAACATACTTCTTCCATGTTACTGAAATGAATCCGTGACGCGACTTTTTTACGCACTAAAGTCAATTTAAATTCTTCATGTTTATGTAAAGCTCGAAAACTTCAATAACATCTATCGATGATAGTGAAGAGAAAGAGTACAAGGCGGAAGAGTGAGCGTCACCTGAGAATATTTCTTCAGAGAGACGATATTTGTTTATTGTGAGAAATTGATAAGTGAAATAGTACGTAAACAGTTAAAATCCTGTTCGCAGAAGCGTCGATGAGTTAAGTGAATCTATTCTTTCTTCAGTCTTTACACCGACTTGTCCGAAAGACCGAAGTCTGAAATAATCCGCGCATCGCATTACACTCAAGCTCATCTCTTCACTTAAAACACTTTATATCTTAAATAGTGAGGTAATGAAGTACAAAACTGCTATAAACATGATTAACTAATCATAATTTATTTATTTCATTGATATTTCGACAGAATCCACTGTCATTATCAGAATGAAAAAAGAAGCGCTTCTTTAAGAACTCTACTCATATACAGACTGGACGTGTCGTTTTTCGTTCTATATTTTTCATTATATATTTGACTATGTATAGTCTTAATTCTGACACACTCACTTACACTTTTTTCAGCCTGATGATGACAGTGGATTCTGTCGAAATATCAATAAAATAAATAAATTATGATTAGTTAATCATGTTTATAGCAGTTTTGTACTTCATTACCTCACTATTTAAATCATCAACTGCTCTCTTTCCTAACTTTGTTACTTTATATCTTCTTTGTACCTTCCCCAAGATAAAGTCTAAATCAATAGTTGAGAAGTGTTTACTATACTTGGACAAGTATTGATCTTTTTAGAATACCGTCAAGCAAGGAAGTATTCGTCTCACCTAGGGATACATCGGTTACGTTCATAACTATTATAACTGGGCGATCGGTTAACTACTAATTTGTTAATAAAAATTTCGTTTGTACGATACGCAGCTACCGATATTCTTCACAGAAAAACATCTTCGATGTAAGACTTGCAGAATCAAATATTTACAAAAAATGTTGGTGCGCATACCATAATAACTATACTCGCCCTTGTACTCGAGAGAAATTTTATTCCTTTTGAAAATAGTTGTAAAAAGAGGATTTACCGAAAACATGTAATCTTTCACGCATTCTGATGTGCTGACAAATTTCGTGTAAATATAAATAAATGACATTACTCGCATTTTGAGTTCAAAACAGCAGAATGCGCATGTCACAGTGGTTGATTGTTTGACCGATTATGTACGGTTACGATTATGTCTAGTCCCATGCCGTCTCACGACGATCCCTGAATTTTTATCCAGTCACTAATATTTTGTTAACATAAAAATAAAACAATAACATAACAACTGATCTAATAACATACATTATTATCATATACTTCAGGTATTTGCAGAAGTTAACAATGAACAGCATTTATTAGAAATTTAATTTACGTGTCGAACCTTTCACAAGTACTTTCGAGTTACTTTATCAATTCTTAACTTAGTACTAACAAGAAGATGACATACTAAACTTACGTACAATAAAATCACGAACATTGGCAAGTACATTCACTAGGGTATTCTTTACTTACTTCTGTTGGTCTTGATACTTTTACTTCATCAACAAATGGTGCCCATGGTCCTCGAAATCCTTCCACATCACTTGAATCATAATTTTTATCTTTTTTACGTTTATCTGCCAGACGTTTTCTTGTGGTTTCAAATACAGTCATTCCTAATAGAAATAAATGGTATTAATCATGTGTTTTTTATTTTTTTTCAAATAGATAGTATTACCTTCGTTGATATCAGCATTAATTAAATCTCCGACTAAATGTGTTGTTGAATGTGTTTCAGTACTAGGATCAGCCGCATAGCCAAAACTGTCAAATGTTCGACGTTGATTTTCAAACAGAAAATCACTAACACTCGTTGATTCGACATGACCACTAAGCATATTTTTAAATGCTCGTTGCTGCTGATTTAAATGTGGATTTTCAGGACCAAACTAAAAAACAAAAATAAATAAGTATAACTTGAGCTTAATATTTCAGACATGACGAAACTTTACTTGCATAGATGGAAAAATTACTCGCAAAAAGAAATATATTGATTTCATTTCAGTCTCAAATACTATAGGAATTAAGTTATCATACTTACAACTGGTGCGTACATATCTTCATACTTTGGATTAAATGTGACGAGCTTAGTTTTAATATCGAGAAAATTAGTGGTATTTTCAGGCTAAAGAAATATATACAAATGAAATTAATATCATAAAATTATAAATATATGAAAAACATACTTGAATAATGACTGCTGGCGTTAAATTAAGTTTAATTTTTGACATTATAGAAAATGTTGGATCATTAATTGCGTTAAAATTTGCAGTTGTACTCATTGTTTGTTCGTTGTCGTTATCGGTACTGTTTTGATTTTCATCCCCATCAGCATCGTCATCATCATTATAAGCTTGTAAGGCTAACATTATAAAGTGAAAGAAGTTTATGAGGATTCTAAAAAATAAATAACAGTCATAACATGCTATCAAAAACAAAAAAAAAAAAAAAATTTAGAAAAAACGAAAAACTAATATCTTGAATAATCCATTTCGATATGAAAATATTAGTTAGTTTATCAGCATAGAAATGCTTTTTATTATCCATTCTAAAACAGAATGCAGTTCATTATTTTTTGAATAATTTTTAATTGAAATAAGCTAGATACTTGCAGTTTTAGCATTGTGCAAAGAAGATCTGATGGAGATACCTATGAAAAAAAAGTCGCTGCGACAATCTTTAGATGATGTACTTGACAAGTCTTTGAAAAAAGAGAACATTGCTCTTTGACTTTCTCAAGAGACTTCTATGTTTAACACACTCAGTATATAGTTCAGGGTGTCCGCTATTCATCTGAGCAAGTCGAACCTCCCTGCCTTCTATAGTTCCCACATGGTACACATTTTGCTAGGACTTACTTATCTTAATTCGGTTAGCTCTGATAACCTTACAAATAATAACAAACATAGGTTTTTAACCATGCGAGCCACGCGTCAATTTTTGTTTTCAGAAGAAAATTCAAGAACCTGGGAAAACTTGTAGTAGATAAAACAATCCATTTGTGACTATCGTCAGCGAAAATTAAAAAATTTCTAATTCAGTCAAAATCGATCCAAACTACTCCATTTCATCTGTTCTTGCAGTTAAACTTAGGAAAAAAATATTTCCTAACTTCGCTAGTCCACTTTTCCTGATGAAGTTCTCGAAAAAACGCGAAACTCCCAGGGAGTCCTTAGGAATTCTCTGTAAAATCCTTAGTGTTTACCTGATTTTTAGGGAGTGGGGATAAATAATAAAGTCTCTGGTGATTCACTGGTAGCTTTCTAGAGATTTCACGTTTTTTCGCGGATTCAGCGAGAAGAAGTCTTCATCAGGAAAGATGGACTAGGGAAGTGAGGGAATGTTTTTTGGTTGTCGCAGCAACTTTTTTTTTCATAGGCATCTCCATCAGATCTTCTCTACATAATGCTGAAACCGCAAGTATCTTAGTTAGTCCTATTAAAAATTATTCAAAAAACAATTGCACTGCATTCTATTTTAGAATGGATAATAAAAAGCATTTCTATGCTGATAAACTAATCTTTATCTTATAATAACGATTGATTCGACAGAGGTAAATGTGAAGAATTAGATTATAATAAAAAGTGTTTTATTGAGCTTTTTTGCCACATTTTATTGATAATGAACGTTCTTCTTATGTTGAAGTGATGCTTTTACACAGAACTTTAACATGATCACTCAATTTATCGTTTTTTTAATTAATATCTCTCAATTTTATTTTTGTAATACTTTGCTTTGATACAATGTTCCACGTTGTATTGACGTTTTTTCAATGATTTTCATTGATTTAACTAATCTTTAGGTTAAGAGAGGATTGATATCAATTGCTAGACGATGTAATTTGTTCACTTGTTGTGGATGTTCGCTTACACAGTAACACACGCACATATACTTTCACACGTAATTCAATGTTCTTTTACACATTGGAATTTATCTATGATATCACTAAACAAAAAAGTCGTCTGGCACATTTGCAACCCAATCGAATCAACCAATCCTTTGAAATATTGAAAATAATCCAACTAGTCCGATGTTGAATAAAAATATACAATTTTTCTTCAAATGTCAGACGCGAATGATAAATCGCAAGTTTCGGAAATATTTTTTTACTTTTCGATCAAAAAATAAGAAAAACATAGAATAAGCCTAGTATACTTAATATATATACACACACACACACATACCTACAAAATCCGGCAAGTGAACACGAAGAGAGAACAAAAGAAGACAGGTTATTTAGAAACAACAAAAAATAGAACGAAAAGCATACACTGCTGTTGTACAAAATAAAGCGAGAAAAATATACATAGTAAGATAATTTTCTGAACAGTTTTTAATTCAAAATGACAATAATCATCATTAAACATAAATTTTCATCTTTATTGTTATAACTCATTGTATACAGTTTTAAAGTCAAATTTCTCTGGTTTTATCACTACATATATTTCAATGAAAAAACAAGAGAATCTTTGGAACGAAATGACGTGAATAACAATGATCTGTATGGAAGAGAAGAGAAGCGTGTATTGTAGTAACCACATAAAAATATTTTTTTTTATTATATTTAGTGATACCATCAGGTTTCTGCAAAAATATTTCATATTGCTTTTTCCCAATTTTTAGGTCTAATCACTTTGGCATTTTTTTCATCCTATATCAACAAAAGTTAACCTTGTGAATTATGAAAAGATCAGACTAGTTATCTTTAGTAAGAAGAAGGACTATCTAACTATCTAGAATGATTCTACCACAAAAATATCGAGATAATAGGAATAATCGGTCAGCTAAGTTATTTGTTTTTTTGTTAGAGTACACTTAGTAGTGTAGTAGTAGTAGAGTAACAAAAAGAACAACACGAAAAAGTAATATTAAAACAAATAATAACAAGTGTCTGCCTATTATAAAACTTAATAAACAATGCAGTAGGATATAAATTTTGTTCGTTCATTCAATTGTAATCGACATAGAGGACATCTGGCTACAGGAACATTTTCTAATAGTTTTCTTGAGCATGGATCACAAAAAACATGTTGACATACAGGTGTCGTTACCAAACTAAACATTTAAAATATTATATAGATAATAATGAAATAAGATAATACTATTTTTGATTTAAAATTGAACTTACTTGATATTTTGTCGTTGCAATTGAGTTAATGATTCTAAACAAATGGGACAAACCTAAAGAAAAGAAAATCATTGGAGACTGCCACTGTTAATATATCCATGTTCGTTGACATAACCTACATGTTCATCAATCGATTGTTTATGTTCATGAGAACGAGATTGCTGTTGATTAATTTCAATTGGTTCTTCATTTTCAACACTGATAGAGTTATTATTATTATTATCTTCATCAAGAATTATTATCAATGGTGGAACACGTAATCGATGTTGTAGATATTCAGTATCATTTAAAACTTCAATCTCTTCTACATCTTCTTGATTAGTATTGTAAGCATTTGTTGTTGCTAATGATTGAGTAACTAAGTCAATTATGGATTCTGGTAAAGGAGCTCGATTTTGTACATTATTATTTTCAGTAGAATCTAAGAAAAAAATTTTCACATGAAATACAGTAATCTCGTAAAACAAATACTCTTTGTTCAAAAGAGATTACATTTTTAGTTATTAACTACTGTTGTGTTATAGTGTTTCTTAGAAAGTTGCTCCTAATAGCTTAAATACATTACCTTCACTTAGTCGTGTGTTATCATCATTTACATCTTGTGTAATCAAATTAATAATTGACTGTGTCTGACTTGTGAGCGGTGTAGAATAATCATCTTCAATTTCTACGTCACTTTCATTACTCGATTCGGCATCCGTTATTTGTGTATAATCAGGATCATTTATTTGTTGCTCAATCTCGTCTTCATCATCAATTGAATCAATACCGTCATCATTACTTGTGGTTGGTGATAAAATTTCTTGCTCTTCAATATCATCTAATAAAACAATTTCTGGATTGATTGTATTAACAACAACACAATCATTCTGTTCTTCATCATCATCATCATCATCTTGTGATTCTTTATTTATTATTCTTGAACGTTTTGAATTAGAAGTGATCTCTGTTGTTGTTAATGAGCTAAAAGGACGTTTGGTAGTGATATAAGAAATAGAAGAAGAACCATCTGGGTCAGATTGCTGTGAATATTCAGAAGTTGTTATTCGACAAAGTAAATCGGTTATAGTTGAAACAACAGCCGATGTTGAAGATTCACTGTCATTGGAAAAGGATATTGGTGAATTTAGAATAACAATTTCATCTTCGTCGTCATCATTCGGAGTGGAATTTGAATTTATACTACAATAAATACAAACAAAAGTTTTATTAGGTATTTATTCAGCTTCTTTTTTGCTATTAAAAACGATAATACATAATGCTTACTATAGACGATTTTTATCATTCTGAATTTCTGAACACCTTTTTCGAGAGACCGCTGTTAGATTACTAAATTATTTATTGATATACCAGAAATATATTCTGGTATATTACTACGTGAAACGTAAAACAATGTAATTTCTTTCTTGATCAATATTTTTTCGCTCTATATACGTATTCAATCAATTATTTACCTGACAGTCGGTGATGATGTTAAATTAATCGTTCTATTATTCTCGTTATTGGTATCCATACAGAGACTATGTTGTCTTTTTGACGAAGAATTATTGTGACTATCACAATGGTGTCGACGTTTCATATCATCGATTCGCTAAAAACATTTAGAATGATTTGAAAATCTAAAATGAAAAATATAGTTTATCGGACTTTAAACAAGAAACTCAAAGAATTTCTTCCAATAAAAAAAATGTGAATTTTCTTTTGGACTCTAAAACAATATAGAACAGAAATAAAACCAATATTCAATGTTTACTCACAAGACAGAACATATCGCATCTTTTCAACACAAAAAAATTATACAAGCTGCAGCTGAAATTTACAACCGACATATATTGTATGTTCACCTCTAGGGAAATATTTTTTTCATTTACGTTCTTTTTTCCATATGTCTGTCAAGACATAAGAATGGCATGTGACAACCGTTATTCCATTTTAGCTGCAAATAGCAGCTCCAAGGAGCCAGAATCAATGCGAATTGAGATAGATAGTCTCTCCTTGAAGCGGTACTACTATTTACAGCTAAAAGGAAACAACGTCTGACATCGATAAATGACTCAAGAATATCCAAACAGACCGTACCAATAACAAAGCAACCAATCAAAAAGCTTGAAATAATAGAGTTTATCATCTTTTCAATATGGCAATTTTTGATTTACATATATATATTCATCAACATGATCAATATATAATAATCAGAATTGTCAACTTTAAAAGTTCAAAAAGTGGTAAAAAAAGTTTTGAAAAGCGGAAAGTCAGTTTTTGTACTTCTAGCGTGTACGTTAATTTGTTTAGTGGCGTAACAGTTCTTTGTCAACATATGTATTTACATATCCATGTTAAGTAGAAAAAATCTATTTGTTTTCAGCGACATCAACAAAAGACTCAAACTACTAAACGCGCTGTTTTTTGAACTGATACTTTTTGACCGAGTGTATTGAGATTAATAAGTGTTTTTGTGATAAAAGATGTTTATTCATTTCTTTACAAGACAATGAACTATTTAGAGACGTATTTGCTGCAGTATTAGAAACGATAGTGGCTGTTCAATCTCGAATTTTGAAAAAGCGGAATAAAAGTTGAAAAAGTGGAATTTGCCTGCAAACAGCGGACAGAATGGCAACCCTGAATATAATAAAAGAATGTATATAATACGTAACGTGTTTGCATCGGAACATTAACGACGCATTACCGTCACTGTTTTTAATGAGAATTTTTTCACTTGCTTTGAAACATAGTGAACAACGTGGATCATTCTTTTTAGGCTCAAACAGCGAGCTGTTTTATTTCCTCCATATTACCTGCAGTTTCATTCAAATCTGTGTACCTGTAAAGCTGCTTTTCGCTTTTAGAGTCAGATTAACAGAGAGAAAGTAGAAAGTTCATTTCACTTTTAATGTGTACAAGATGAATGAATCACTTTCTTTTCTTCTGTAGTTTGATCTGCTGATGACTCGCAGAACAAAGCAACGTGAGTTTTTCGAAAGCATAGATCCCAGCGTGGATTTTTATTTTTGATCATGGATATCCACGTTGCTTTCACGTGATCTACGCTTTATTAAAAACGCTGATCATCACTTAACCCTGTCTATGTCCTGAACACGTGACCGACGTTTTTATTTTTGATTTCACTGCTTATTCAAATAAAGTAGGTTTATCAAGATTTTTAATATTGGAACTATAGTGTAACTTGAATGGAACAAATTGGACATGAAAATTTGCGCTAATGCGGTATAAATTTGACAGGCATCAGTTTCAAACCGTGCTGTATTATCTCGGTACTTCTCCCATTCGATGAGAAATCTGAACCATCTCTTCTTTTTTTATTTCGTTCTAAGGATTGTAGACTTACACAGTTCTTTGAAACATGCCTATTTTTTATTCTCTTCAGCGTTCTCACTATTCTTCTTCACGTTCTCAACATTCCAAATATATTCGTATTCTTTCTTGTGCTAACGGTTCTTTTCCTTAAATAGCACATTCTTCTTTTCTTTGCTCTACAATCGCCCGCTGGAGTAACCTTCCAGAATCGATCGTTTGTTGTTCGTCGCTATGGGCTTTTAGGAAGAAGAAAGGAAGAATATCCCACCTTGCGGCTACCGTTTCCGGTGCTACCGAATGGCAGTTTCAATAGCTCGATATCCTTCCTGCAGCTGACACGGTCATCCATCTAGGTAATAGTCATCAACCACAACTCTGTACAGAAGGCTAGCCTGACGTAGAGTTCTTTCGCCCAAATATCTGAGCTCCCCATACACACTCATTAACCACGTACTAATTTTCTGGAAAGCTACACGAACTAGTCAGAGGAGCCGTATTGTACGTCAGAACATAGTGAGTATGCTGTCGGTGAGGGTGATCCAAGACACTAAGACATCTTTTTCTTCTATTTAAAGTCATATTCGCTTTTTATCTGTTGATTTGCGGAGAGAGGAGGTCGTCGTGTTACAGGCCAAGGCCTTTGAATAAATAGTTATTATTATAACGCCTCACTTTTTGCTCTAAATTAGCATTTTACTTAGCAGACGCCATCTTTTGCAGTTTCAGTTTATATGTAAGATGTATTCATATGTAGTTTGTGGTTTTGTAAACAAGAATAGGCAAAGAAGAGCCAGGAACAATGACTTCTCTGCATGTCTGGGTTTCGGTTCACTGGGGAAAGATAGAGCGCTTCATCTCTGTACACTTTCCTTCTCAATTAATAGTGCATTTTGTAGAATAAACAAACCTTGTGTTTCTTTTCATTTATGAGACATCAGATGTGAAAGAGAGTATAGTAAATTCAACTACGTCCTCTAATCACTGAAGCTCGTGTTAGTTAGTACAGTTGTTAAATAAACAAAAGGACAAAATTTTCCAAAATTTATTTCAAATTTGCAAAAAACTCTTCCACTCTTTTGCTATCTCTGGTGTGTCATCATATAAAGTTGCGGCATTTAAGAACACTTCTATATTTGTCACAATTTGCTTGAACTATTTTTTATTTTAACAAATACATCGGTTAAATGTTTCTCTACAAAGTAGGATATTTTGCAAGTCTCAGTGATTCTTAATAACTGCGTTAAAGCCATTTATCTATATGCCTTACCCCTTGGATATAGTTTAAACCGCTAGAGAAGGCTCATAAAGCATCGGTTGAGCGCGTTTTTATTGTTTCGTTGTGTACACATGTTTGAACACCGTTTCACATGAAAAAGTTTCATAAGCATCATAAGTTATATAAGCTTGCATACTTATTTTGATTAGTTCCTCTACCTGCCAAATAAAAAGTACACTTAGGTCAAATGGTGAAATTTAATATTTTGTTGCAATATTGATTGACTGAACTTTCCTTCTGACACAAAATTATAGCTCAAGATGTTTAGAAGCCGAATTATAGGGCTTTAGTCTCTATAGATGTCACTCATTAAGAGAGAGAGAGTTTGTTTTAATTGTATCTTCAAACGCATTGTGACTACAATAATCAAAAAAGTTATTTGCAGAAGCTGATCAGTCACATATTTTTATTATCACGTTTAGGACTATATAAAGCTTTTCAAAAAAATTGATTAAAGACATCTATCTTCTAAATGAATATCACTGGTAGAGTGCAACGTTACTCTGCTATTGTACAGCAATGATGCAGTTCGTATGAATCATCAGTATTATTTCCATTTATTTATCAGTATTATGGAGTAATAATCTAGAATACTAACAATAGAGAGAAAAGGGTATAAAAAACGAAAACAAGAATGACGCAAAAGGGGAAAAACGAAAAAAACGGTAATTTCATATCGAATAAGAAAAAAATTTCATTGTATTCATATTAGGATGTTTTTATTTGCAGTAGCGAAGCATGCGCATCTATACATGAACAGTTGACTTTTACTTATAAGTGTTTGATCGAAGTCGGCATAGCTATTCGGTTGGTTTATTGAGCTAATGTTTTTATATGCATTGAATTTTTATTAATTTGTGCGTTCTATAAAGAAAATCATCTTGCTAAAAGGTGAATGGATGATTAAATGATTTATAACTGCTTCGAAGAACAAGTAAATGCAGAAATGCGTGAAACAATAAAATTTAAAGAACAACAGATTTGTAAATTTGATAGTTTTATAAGATATTTCTGTTTTTTTTCAGATTAAAGAAAATTTTTTTGTTGAAACTAGTGATGTCTTATCGTAATCAAACTCGTGGTGGTTATCGTCATCATACTGATCCAACATCATCAGGTTATTATAAAGGCAGTCAAAATGTACGCTATCGTACACGTGGTGGTCCGAGTGGTAGAGGCAGGGGGAATCGACGTCCAACAGATGATGTTGATTCCTTAACAGTTTCAATAAGTGATAATTTAACAACGGATACTAGTGTACGCAATTTTCGTGGAAGAGTTGTTAATAGTACACATCGTGGTGGTGGTGGTTTTGGTGGACCGCGACCAGTTGGTTTATTTAATAAACATACAAATCAATCACAAGCACGTCAGAATCAAACGGGTTGGTGGCGGGTATCAATACCAAAAGCTGGACATATTGGAAAAGATAGAGTAATGTCAATACTAAAAGTACATACATCAAGACAATTTCAACCATATCATGTAAGCGCGTACTTTAAACATGAAATTTTGATTTGATACACATGTTTGTTTCTCTTAAGTATTTTATTGACCGTGATACAAATATGGGCGTATTTTTTGTCAACAGCCGAGAAGAAGCTGATATGCTTAAACGAGCAAATGGAAAATTATCCGCTCAAAATTCCGAAACAGTGAGTTTAAAGTTTGTTTTCAACATATATGATGGTTAACAGGTTTTTCTTATATTTTTAGTTAAGTATTATGGTTGGTCGTGCAGCATTTCCAGCGCCGTATTTAGATGAAGATTTAATACGTCATTTTCGAGTATGTTGTATAATGTGATTTTGAACTGTTGTAAAAAGAGAAAAACTAAGAAGATCTTTAAATTTCTATTTTTACATGCCGATTCTAGTTTTTTATCAATTGGAATTGGTTTCTAGAATTAGCTAGTGTAGTTCGGTTGGGGCTAATGCTAGGTCATGTGAAGACGTTGTTCAATACACCTTCACAATTAGTTAGACGGTTTCAAGAGACATTGAGCACCAATTCCCATTGAAATCAATTAGAAACGGTGCATTCCTAAATAAAGTCTTTTACGTATTGATGATAAATTTTGTATTAGTCAAAAAACACATCAGTGTTGCATGATGAAAACTATAAGTTTAAGGGTTGACAAATGTTCTTTTTTTTGTTGTTTTAAATGTTGTTTTTTAAATGTTAGCCCGTCCTTCTAATAAGACTAATCGTTGAAAAGAGTACATTCATATTTGTGTTATTTGTTTTTGTAGGATTTTATCCGTACACGATATGATATGAACACAAATGCATTAAATTTATCTAATCTAGCTGATGATGAAGGTACACACGTTGGCATAACAATGAATAACTTTGATATTTAATGCATGTATATCGATTTTAGCTTTAAGCGCTGTTGGTATTTATCCACAACTAAATAAACAACAATTTGTACGTGATCTCATCAATATAATCAACGACAATATTCCTATGGTATAGATAGTAAACTATTTTTATTTAATAGACGTAGATAAAAGTTTATCATTCTGTTTTAGACACGTTTCTTGGATTTAAGTCAAAATAGCATAACAAATCTGTACGAATTTCGAAACTTAAAATTACCACACCTTGAACAGTTAAATTTATCATTGAACCAAGTATGTATTCTGGATGGTACAAAACATTAATTTAAAATTTCATATTAAGTATAAATTAAATATTTTTTATTTTTGTTTTATTTAGCTTCGTGCTGTTGATGAACTACAATATTTGAAAAATTTACCTTTATTATCCAATCTCTATTTGAGAGAAAATGTACTTCAACAATCATCAAAAAACAATGATGATTTAATCAGGTGGGATCAAACCAGAGATCTTTAAATTCGTTTTTCTTTTTTTAAAATTAAAATGCCAGTGGCAATGCAAGAAGCTTAAATTGAAGATATGGTGGTTACATATCAAGTGGACTAGTTGACAAAGAAAAAATTGCTGCTTTTCTCCTTTTGTTTGTCTGTCGCTAAGATCGAGTTTTTGAGAGACAATTATACGCGGTTGTACGTGTTGGATGACATAGTAGCTTGATGATTAGAGATTAAAATGATTGGTGGGTCAGTTACATGAGTGAGTATGAATGTTTTGTAATAATAATAATAACAACAAAAAAAAAAAGTATGAGTGAATAAAAGAATTGTAAACAAGAAAACATTTTCTATGTATTACATCAATTTTTTTATATTGATTCTATTTTATTGTATCATGGAAACTTATCACAAGGAATTTAGCCAATTACCCAATGAAAATCGATTCATTTTCTTACGTCTTTTACAATCTTTTATTCAATTGCCATTGCAAGTGTTAACGAATTGTTATTCAATGAAATTGTACAACAATAAATATTCATAATTAATGAATATACATTTTATGATATATTGTTTTAAAAAATGCAATGGTACTCTCTTCTTCTTCCTTTCACATCGATTTTCTTGGGACGATTTAATGAAACATTACCAACGAACTCTCTCGCTCATATTTAATAAATAAACAGTTTTTTGTAATCAAATTAAACAAATTTTTTTGTAGAAAAGAAGAAGCATCGAAAAAAAGAAGAAAAAATAGTCTACGGCAAAAACAAAAAAAAAATAAACAAAAAAAAAAACAAGAAAAAATGAAAAAGAATAAAAAAAAAAGAGAAACAAAAAAGAGTTGCTTCTTTTGCTTTTTTTTTGTATCTGTGGTGAAGTGTGAATGTATCTGAACCATCAATCTTTCTTCTTTTATTTCTTCCGATCTTCCAGTTTTTACTGTTCATGTGGTGTTATCGACATCCGAGACAATCATGTATAAATAGTCTGAGAAAAAATATTGTTAAAGAGACACATAAACAAAGACAAACTTTACGTTATCATAACTAAAGGAAATAATTAGCAACAAATTTTTCTATTGTTATTTTCTACCTATTCTTGTTTTACTATGTTGTTATCTTTTTTTTAATCTAACGTTACTCGGATATTTCAGTTGTCGTTGTTTTGATTATTATATTTTAGCGCTATTCGACAAAAACTACCACAATTAAAACGTCTGGTAAGTTATGCTTGAAGATTTAACGAACAAAAACAATTTTAATATACAGATAATAGATTTGACCAAAGTATATAATAGATAAGTCATATTCTTCTATCAAATTTCAATATGTTTAATAGACTGAAGAAAATTATTTAAAGTTTGATAAGAAGCAAAAAAATATTTATTTTATTTTCATATTTTAGGATGATAATGAATTACCACCAACAATTCGTTTTGCCACTGATATTGATATAATTCAATTGCCAAAAAGCAAACCGCATTATGTACCGGAAGAATTACAATCATTTCTTGGACGTTTTATTCAAGAATATTATCAATTATTTGATATACGTGGTCGTGATTCTCTACATTCATGTTATCATGAGAAATGTATGTTTTCATTATGTATCGCAACACCACCTGATAGTTGTGGAATACAAACACGTCAATATAAATATGGTCCACAAATATATGATAGTCGAAATTTACAAAAAGTTGTTAACGATAGTAAACGTTTAGAATTATTAAAATATGGAAAACAAACTGTATTAGATTATTTAAGAATAAAATTTCCTACAACAAAACATGATCCAAATTCATTTCATGTTGACGTTATTTCATCATCGGTAAGAATATCATGTATTTTTTTTGTTAAATTTTTATAGTCCTATTCAATAAAGGGCACATATTTCAATTATATATTTATTGTTTCTTTATTTGTTTTTGCGCACTTTGATTTGGAGAGACAAATGGTTAAGTAGTTAAAACAGAATAATTGATTTTTTCTTCTTTTATTCAGGGATCAACGGCTATATTTACAATCAATGGTTTATACAAAGAAAGTAAGTAACGGACTCGTTTTCTATTCTAATTGGTTAGCAATACTTTTGTTTGTTTATTATGATCTGTACAGCTCATTTTTTATTGTTTCTTTTTTATATTTCTAGTTGATGCAGTGGGTGGATCGATACGATGTTTTCAACGAACATTTACAATGGTTCAAAGCGCAAATGGGTAGGTGACAAATGGTTTTTCACTTTGTTTTCAGTACGATTTGTTCGGTGATATTAGTGTGCAGAAAAGGTGCAAGTGAATTAAGATAGATGGATCATTTACATCGATCTGTGCAATGCTTGTACATCATTATTATAAAACTATTTATGTCTCATTATTTATCCTTATTGATTGTGTATCATATCTACAATTTTAGTGTTCATATTATATGTGATCATTTGCTTGTTGTAAATGCTACGAACGATCAAGTTGTGGTAAGCAACACTCATTTTCATCATTGACAATAGTACAAAAGTAACTGATCTAATTTTTAATTATTTTCTTTAAATAGAAAATGAATAAATCTGTTGCACCACCACCATCTGCACAAACTTCACAACCTTCATCGTCACAAATACCACAAAGTATGTCAATGGATCAACATCAACTATCAATTCAAAATCAAGATCCAAATCGTCAACAAATGATTTTAAAATTTTCAACAGAATCTGGAATGAATCAGCATTTTTCAACATTGTACGTATATTCTTTATGATATTTTATTTTGTTTACTTATCGTATTTGTTGTAGATGTTTGGAAGAACATAATTGGGATTATAACAAAGCAGCACAAGTCTTTACACAATTACAGAATGAGGTAAGTGTGAGTCTTTCAAATGATGCATAGTTTTCATAAAATTTGATAACTGAAAAATCTTTACGATAAATTTGTTGAAATGTTACTACAGAATCTTTTTCTTTTTTTTGTATTACAGTAATAAGTCTTTACTTATCATGACTCTAATTTCGTTTATTTTAGAATAAAATTCCATCTGCTGCCTTTATTAAATCTTGACATTGTTTAAGTGGGACAACAGAGAAATGCACTTATATAAATACGTAGTTTATAAATATCTTTGTTCTTGTTTTATTTTCCATAATTTGTTGTTATATGTCTATAGTTGTTCATGTTATGTGCACATTTATGTTTTCTTCTATGTATCTCTGTTTCTCTCTCTCTCTCTCTCTCTCGTTTTCTCCATCCAACTATCTTTTAAAATAAAGAAACATATTGTTTAATCATCTCTTTTGTTTTGTTGTTGTTGCTGTAATCATTTTTTTCACCTGCTGCTGTTTTATTTCTTCTGTAACAACTCGTGAACGATACAAAAAATAAAGACAACAGTTAAGAACAATAATTTTATAAATCAACCAGTACATGTTCAGTCAAAAACGCACTGATATTCCAAAACCCATTAAAAAAAAATTTACCAGATGTACTTAAGGTCATAACGCAGAGGTTTAATTTTGGAATTTTCGTGTAGACCTTCCTTTACCGAGTTACAGGGTTTCTAAAATTTAAAACATGGTTTTGGAAATTTTTTCGGAATTTTTTTTTGATTTGAAAAACCTATAACTCGGTATAGAAAGATCTACAAGAAAATTCCAAAAGTATGCCTCTGCATTATGACCTTGAGTACCTCTGGTAAAATTTTTAACTCCATCGGATGAAACTGGGGTCGTAATGTGGCACAATGAAAAGCCGAGTTTTCTGCAAAACTGGTGAATGGCAATAGTTGAGGTATTATTGTTATTAACATGAGGTATTAGTGAGTTTTATTTTTTATTTTACAGCATTTCTACAGAAAGCCCAAAATGAGGCGGTTATCCGTAAACAATCCTAAAGACAACGAAGCAGAAGTGGAAATGTTTTTGAGTATTTTCAAGTGCGCTCCTTCTCGTCATGCAGTCCAGAGCCGTTCGAATCAAAATGAGCATTGAAAACATTCCAAAATTTATTTAAAAATGACCAAAATCTGCTTTTTTCTCGCCAGCTGAATTTTAAAAGAATACTTTAAGGTAAACTTTAAGACAACCTTTTACCAATGAATCAAATTTTAGAAAGCCAAAATCTTCATCGACAAGTTTCAATGGAGTTACAAAACATGAATTTCCACACAGTAACAAAGCATTATAAAATGAAACTGCGATACTCAGCTTTTTCTCTCACATGTATGATGATTATAATGAAATAGGAAAGAATATTTTATTTTTTAACCAAATAAACTGATAGGTTTGAAAGGTGGGCTGAGTGCAGTTCAATGGTTCTACTCATGTTCAACGGATTCTAAGGTCATTGTATGTTTTGAAAATATCAAATTTAGTTTTCTACAGCTTTACACAAGAAATTAGAAAAAATAGTTCTGATATTTTAGAGAATCGTGAAAACGGAAAAGTTTAGTTATTGTTAAATATTTTTTTATTGAAAAGTCACTTTAATAAAATTAAAATCAACTCTTCTTCTAGACAACTCGATGAGTTCTATTTAACCATGACAATAAACAAAAACGAAAAATCTGACTTAACCCTTTGAGTACCATTGCTCGCCTACGATAGCTAGAGACGTCTAATTTTGTGTGGTCATAGTTTTTACCGAATGCTGATCACCCATCAAGTATGGGCCTCTTTTACTAGATGGTTCGTGAGAAGTAAGCGTTTCATTTCCTGTCCATAAAATGCTAATAACTCCTGATCCAAGAGACGTGAAAGCTTTTCCTTTTTACCAAAATGCAGCGCTGCCTCTTCTCTATCTATGGTATGAATCTGAAATGTTAGCTCTTAACCAATGATATCTCTTTGCTACTTTAAATCCTCTTTTTTGTAATATCCAATGTTCTTTATTTTCTTTGTTCTCTGACAATCTTGGTGGAAGGCCAGGTCATCAGGGGCAAAATCCACATTTGAACATCCTCAGCTACTGGCGTCACAATTTATCGAAGCATTCAACATTGACCCTGAACAAACACCATAATTACAACTGATAGAATTGAAGAAAGTTTTTTTGACATATGACCATGTCTATCCACAAAGCGTGGTCATCTGTATCAGACAGAGGGACACCGTGCCAAAGGAACTGTCGAAGAACAGAAAACACTGATGGCTACCGAGACTCACTTCTCGACATCAATTATACAAGCAGTCAAAATCAGTGCCGGTGCCCGATCTGAGGAGAAATCGAAAAGCGAATCATTCTAACAAGATTCTCAAATAACGTTCAAAGCTGTGGGTGGGAACACACTGTTCGCTCGGGATCCAACTCTCTGGGCAGACACGGTAGCCAATCCAACTCTTTGGCGTATTATTGAACAGGACAAGTATCAATCACTGATTACACTACTTAGCCCACCGCAACAAGCAGCAATCCGTAATATTCTGGACGACGAAGAAGAATTCCAGGCAAGCCGACATTTTTTGGAAAAATATAACAACTGGATCAACCCGATACAATCAAAATATACAAGTAGATAATAATAACTGTCATTAATAACATTGTTTTTACTGAAGTATTTTAGCGATGTAAAATTTTGAAACACAACAAATGTGCTCGAAATGTCCGGTGTCGTGTTACAAGCTATAATGAAACGAGCGGAAGATGTCATTCATTTAAAAATTTATCTAAAACTGGTGAAATGACATTTGATAAAACTAATCATTCGACGATTCTCGAACTAATATATTCGCCAGAATTATTTATAGACTATAAGAAATCCTGTGACCAGTGTAAACCAAGCCGTTATTTGATTTGTACACGTTTATGGGACTGTCAAAAAAGGCACCGCTTGGAACGGTTCAATTTGTGAGAATTAAAGAAAAACGTAGTGATAGTTGTTGCCAAAACGAACAGTGAAAACATGTTCAAAAATATTATTTTTAGTTTCTTTACCTACGTGTGATCTTGAATTATTCTCAAACTAATGGTAGGAGCTGTCTTTTCAATTGAACGTCAAGAATTTGTTCTGAAGTACACGTTTTTGTAAATGATTTCTATGATCGTTTAAGAAAGTCTTCGTTAAAAAAATAGAATTTAAAAATAGGTAGAGCTAATCATCTCTTGGTCAATAATCATTAAAATACATAGATATTCTACCAAATAGAGACGTCATAGGTGATGTATGAACGCATTTGAAGCGACATTGAAGCTCCTTCGGAGATACGATCAGTTAACTGTTTTTTTATGCTAATTGACTATAGGTCTTGAAATCCGAACCGTCGGTCACCAACGATTACAATTTTCAATAAGAATTAAATAAAGTTTACGATCAAACTTTCAATTACAGTTTGGGATCAATTTGAATAGTTATTAGTTTAGTAGCTTATCGGTTTGTTTACTTTGAAAATAAAGTTTGTGTAGAAGAAGTCAGATTATCAATCCGGAAAGAGTGACAAGTATACAAAACGGCAATGTTAACACTAATTCCATATTTTTAGTAAATCGAATTAGTTCAGTTCAATTGCAGAATATTAGTAGCAACAATCTACGAGTTACTCTCTAAAAAGTTTGAACAAAATCGAATAAAATTTGCACTTCTTAATGGGAAGCGGGAAGGTGAAGTTTGGAAATTAATGAAAAAATAAAATTCCTCGTGTTGTTGTTGCCATTTATTGTAAAATTGGAAATTTTGAATTACTTGGAGCACAGTTTACTTAGCGATTTAGTGATACAATGCCATTTCATTTATATTTTGTAGAGAAGAGAGCAATTCAAACATCTGAAAATGTATAAGATGAAACTTAGTTTAACAGACAGTTATAATTACAAGGAACTATCTAGTGTACACTAGTCATTTGACCAACTGCGATTATATTAGGAACGTGTAAATGAGTTAAAAGAAACTGAAAATTTTGGCATTCGACTGTATAAGAGATCGCTTAATTGTGGGTAGCTTAATTATCCTTAATTTTGCGGCGCGGTAGCATAACTCTGCCCTCTGAAGTGAAATCCCGGAACGAAACTTTAATATGATGTTCTTTTTATAGTTTTTACAAACTATTCACAGATCGTCATGCCGTGAAGCTAATTCACAGAGAATTTGGCTAAAACAAACAGACAACAGCAACTCATCAACAAAATTTGGCAACGGGAATGAGTGTTATAGTTGAAGTATTTTTCATTAGCTTTTTTTAAAATATATGATGCGATGAGGATTGATAGTAAAGCTAAACGTTCTAGAAGTAGCGAATTATGCCAGTAAAAGTAGAGTGATTTACTCAGGGATGACTCGGAAGGTAAATCCGAACGATTAGTGTTTGTCCGTACAGATCGGGAAACAGTGTAACATTAAAATGTAAACATATGCTTCATTGATGAACGCGAAGATTTAAATGTAACGATGCTAATCCTAAAAGTGAAAAATAAAACTTGTGTGCATAGCTGATTGACTCATAAAGCATTTCTTAATTCTTTCATTTGCAAATCATACACTTCCATGAAAACATTCATTCAGTTCGAGACACTTCATTTTGAAAGACTGATTGAATGATTATCTATCTAAAGTCAGAAAACAGGTGGCTAATTCTTTCGGAAATGTCCCATACCTTACATAAAGGTTAAACACCTATTGAAAGATATGAATCAATTGAGATCCCAATACCTTATATCCGATTTCTGAGGTATACATCTTTGAAATCCCGGGTTTTCCAGAAAACCCAACCTTTCGACGAACTATTGGTACTGTTACTACTGTTCCTATTTTGATGATCAGTTGTACTTTGTGTTAAATAATCTTGTCTATCTATTGAATCAGTTTTGTTTAGATCAACTTTAATAACACTTGCAAATTTTTGCACTGGATTTTTTACTGATGGATGTTTATACAATTTTTCGGCACAACTGTGTGACATATTCAAAACTGTTTGTTTTATTAAACATAACGTTGACGATTGTGTCTGGAAATACAGTTGATTTACTCTACTATCGACTCGATAGAATTGACCATGGGGAATCTGATGCACATATTAGTTCTGAGTTTAGAGTTCGATTTGATAGTGAAAAACGCATTTCAATATGGCGGATTTGCATGATTTTCACCATCTTAGAGCAAGTACAGTGAGCAATGCAACATTTTGATTTAAGTGAGCCATTTTATTCCTTGTGGTCTCTAGTATATGTCCTAAAGCGTTCATGTTTGCCGCTTTTGTCATTTCTGAGATAATTAGGTACGAATTGCGTCTTGGAACCTATAAAATCCCCAAATGTCGGATCTTCCCAGAACCCCATGCCGATGTTTTAAAAATTTTTAAATGACGCATTCTTACTCAGAGCTAAATGCTCTTTCAAATGAGATACGTCGAGCTTTTTGCGACAGACCTTTATGTAAGGTGTGGGATATATCCGAAAGAATTACTCAGTCAATATTTACAATAATTGCGTTATTTCTTCTGCGATGGATATTTATTGAATACTGATAAACATTTTAATACTTCTAATCCTCGTATAAAATCATCTAGTGGGGCATTACGATATTCCATGACACCATTGTACGATTTAATCGTTAATCGATCATCAAGTGAACGTTGTTGATCATCTTTAAATTGGTGCGTCGATCTGAAACATCCAATAATCTAACGACTTTTGGGGTCAGCGATGAGAACCATCTCATTTTGTAGCGCTTGTATAATTGTGTCAGAAAACCTCAGCCGACGCTTTTGGGAAGATACGCGTTTGGAAAAACCTCATTTTTACTTTCTTAGCGTCAGTGATACTACAGACGTCATTTCGAGCTATTTTTGTAAATCTCGAAGCCTTCCTGCTGTTCTTCCTCTCGGAACAACTAAACAGTCTTTTGCATTCATGTATAACTAGGTTGCATCTACAAATTTTGATTTTAAATATTACTTGCGCATTTCTATCTTGTAACATCTTCAAATTCTCCTTGTCGTTTCTCACCGTCATCATCCAGGCTCATTTGATATTTTGATAAAAACTTATTATTTGACAATTATAACTGCAAGATGTAATTACATCTCCTGAACAACGAAAAGTTGGACATTCACTATGTTTTTTTTCACCTTAATTGAGTTCTTTTGGCAGAATGACAGTTCGATGGAGGCCTCAGGATCTTTAGAAATAGCTGGAAATAACATTTAGGCTATCACTTACACTGAACCTTTTTGGAATACTCAGCGTCTCCAAAGCACTAGCTTAGGATATATATTTAAGATGGATATACTCGTGTGTAATGCATTTTTGCTTGCATTCATCGTACCTATTGTCATATTTCACATCGTTAACTGACTCTGTCTCATCAGTTGTTTCCGGTATTTCTAGCTTCCATCTGTCATCCTTGTTATGAATCGTTTTTGTTGGTGGCTCTTGTTCTTGATCTTGTTCGTTATCATCAACTGGCAAAGAATCATTTGTATGTCGGTATGAAACATATTCTGAATCATACGTGGAACCATAGGGTATTGAAAGAGTGTAGCTTGGATATTGTAACCTGAATATTTCTATACAATGATATTGCATTTGAGATAAACATATATTTAGCTCATGCTGAAGATGAGATGACATAGGTGGTGATTGATATTGAAGCGAGATGATGTGTTGACTAAACAAATACAATTCTTCTACATTCGATTGATGATAATCGAGCATATTTTTCACGTAAGTGTGATAAGAATCTGAATAAATCATTAATAAAACCAGTTAATATATCTTACCTCGTTGAAACTTACTTAACGGCGCTGACTTTAGTTGAGTTTTGTACGTGTCATTCACACGAACAGATACTGATGTGTAGAAAGTATTACTTAACGGTTGTAGATTTATCAGTGTCGGACTAAATGAATCATTATCAAGTAAACTAGGATAAATTGTTGGTAGTGGTACTGTCACCGATGGTTGTGGAGTTAGAACAAGCGATGATAGTACGGTATCTGGTTGCGGTGATAGATTTTGAACAACAGTACTAGTTTTTATTTTATTTTCTTCATTTATGTTTTTCAAATCCATTCGTATTTCTTCACATGTTTCTAAAAATCGTCAACAACGTCTATGTAAGTTAAACTGAAACAAAATTTTTTCTGTCATAAGTAAACATTTTCGAAGCAATTAATAGTCATTACACATTCTTTTGCGTACCTAAACAGTTGTCACATAAATTAAATAAAATATCTGCTTGTTTATCATAGTCTTTAATCAATCGAGCTGCTTGTTTTGGTGTCATATTTTTTCTTGTTGTATTTCGAATTGCTTCCTTTGCCGCATAATCATCATTGGCATTTGGTTGTTCACCGAGAAATTTAGTCTTTTTTGTTTCAAAATATGTTCGACATTGTATACACAATGGTAAACCATCATAATAACGTGAAATGAATAGAGCCAATTCGTAATCGATAGCCGTATACTTTTTCCAACGTTCATTCGCTTTTATCACTTTTTCCTCATTTTTTTTCTTCTTTGCTTCACTACGTTTTGCTCGTTTTTTCTCACGACGTTTTCGTATTGTTTCTTCACTACCTTTGTGCACAACATGATGACGACTACCGTCTTTGTCTAATGGATCATTAATTGTTAATGTTTTAGTTGATAACTCGCTGAACTTATTATTATCGGTACTCCCCGACGATTTGGGTGATGATTCATTGTTTGACGAACTATTAGTACTGTTACTACTGTTTCTATTTTTCAACGATGAAAGACGTTTTTGTTGTTCAAGTGGGATAAAACGATAAAGTATTTCACTTTTCTGTTTTAGAACGTTGTGTATCTTCTTTTTGTTTGACTTTTTTTCTCGTAGTGATAATGTTGATGAATAGGAGGTACTCATACTACTATCAGATGTGTACGATTTTAGTTGACTGAAAGTATTATTCATTGTGTAAAATTATCGACTATTTTTTTTTTTGAATTATAGACGCTTACCGATATGTAACATATCTATGATCAGTTGTACTTTGTGTTAAATAATCTTGTCTATCTATTGAATCAGTTTCGTTTAGATCAATTTTAATAACACTTGCAAATTTTTGTACTGAATTTTTTACTGATGGATGTTTATACAATTTTTCGGCACAACTGTGTGATATATTTAAAACTGTTTGTTTTATTAAACATAACGTTGACGATTGTGTCTGGAAATACAGTTGATTTACTCTACTATCGACTGATGACGATTGACATCTTTGTTCGTGAAATAATTTTAAAACATTCTTTTTAATATAAATTTTTTTCTTTTCAACTTCAGATTTATTTCTACGATGTATTGTTCTCAACATACAAAGTTTAAGAGGTGGTGAAAACACATGGAACAGATGTGAACAAGAAGGAAGAACTGGTAGCGGTGGTGAAGCAATGGTATTATGTTTCATTTTTAGTTTAAGATGTTTCCAAAAAAACAAATATTTTAGACGAGAAAATATTGCCATTTTATCTTGTCTGTTATTAAGCGTCGTGCGTTGGACAGAATTTGAACCATGTATAGTTAGTAAAATAATAATAATTCTTGTAGTCGAAAGAATCAAGAACATGTTTCATGGTGAATTCATCATTTTTCACAACAAAAGATAGGAAAAATTACAAAAAATTCCATACCATATTCGATTACGAATGTATGAGATTTAAAACTTTTCGTTTTCAGTGAATATTAGAGAAATAGTTTAGTTAGCATCCCGCCTTTAGTTTCCTTGTTTGATCATCAATTAACAAATATTTTCAATGTCTCTCTAGAGCGAAAGTGAAGAAAAAAAAATTTGGTAATATAAACTAATGTAACATTTGTATCGTTTAATTACTATTATTTGTCACATCATCCTTTAAGAAATATGTAAATGTTCAAAATGCCAACTGAGATACTCGTAATGTCTCGGTATAATTAAATGTGCAAAGCACAAAAAACATGTTTTCCAGTTTGAACACTTCCCTAGTTTGTTCAAAAATACAGTGCATTTTACTTAACGAAGAACTCGACGTATCAACAGTCACACAGAATATTTCTATTAGTCATATTGCAAATTAAAAATGACTCTATTCGTTGTGTAAAAATAGAGACATTTAGCATTTATCCAATTATTCTCAAAGATCCATTGAGTAAATTTGCTACAATTATTCAATGAATCAATTTTTTCAGTAAGAATAACATCATGTTTCTGATTATTTGATTTTATGAATAATTGATGATTTACAGAAATTGTTTTAATATCGCTGAAGACTTGAGGAAGCTCGACTTGATCGTTTCTCGTTCTTTTGAAAAGACCTGTTAGTAGTTCCCGTTCAAAAGAACTGAACTGATGACCCTAGTCCACTTTCCCTGATGAAGTTCCGGGTGAATCCCTGAGAAAACGTGAAATCCGTGGTGAGTCCCCGAAATAACGTGAAATCGCCAGGGAATTCTCAAGAATTCTCTGTAAAATCCCTGGTGACTCCCTGATTTTCAGGAAGTTGGGAAAAATAATGAAGTCTCTGGTGATTCACGGGTGATTCTCTACGGATTTCTGAGAGAGAATGTACAACATATTCATCGTTTTGTTTTGCGTCTGCAGAAGTATATAAAACGTGAAAATTTAAACAGCAACATCTCTTTTCTTTAGATTAATTTCTTTCTTTTTTTAGATAAGTATAGCTGCTTTCGTCTGAGACTTGTCGTTTCGACGTCAGTTAACTTTTCAGCCGAATGACTCATCCACTGAACGAGGCTCAGATGAGTAAGAGTTTTGAAAAGAAAGTGATAGTTTTTCTTATATAAAATAAATTTCAATCTGATCGATGGAAAACAAGCTAAATTATGCTTAAAATTGAGCACAGGAGTCGAATTAAACATTTATTCGTTTTTGGAAACTCCGTGAGAAATTCCTAGGGGCTTCCTCTAAACTCCCTGTGGAATCCATGTCGGGATTCCCTGGGAATTTTTTCAGGAAAAGTGGGAGCTACTAGATCGACCAGTTCTTTCAACGAAATGGTCACAGAACAGGAGATAAAGTCTTACGAGCAGCATTTGATCTGTAATGAACATATATCAAATGGCGAACTATAGGATTAATTCTAAATATTTTCTACACAACGTTCTACTTTTGGTCGCTACCGTATCATCAATCCGGTAAAAAAGTTGGTCATCGACACTTTAGAGTACATTTTTTTTAAAAATTTCATTCTAAGTATTAAATGAAAGAGCTGATGTTTAATTCAACTATGCAAACAATTTAGCATCAAACTCGAAAAGTTTTGAAAATGTCTTTGAAAGATCTGTGATAATATCAATTTGCTTTTTTTTTACTGTAATTATGTTTCATGCGCTTCTTTTATTTTTTTAACAAGATCTGCTAGGTTTTTTTTCTCATCTTCTTGTAATATGTAATTAACATATTTTGCAAAATAAATTTTAAAAAAAACCATTCAACTCTGCTCGTTTATACCTTTTTCTTGGCAAAAATTGATATTTGACAGTAGTACTCAGTAATTATATAAATTGTACACGTGAATAATGACTAAAATATCTTCGATAAATCACTTTATAGAATTATATTCGTCGACAATTGGTCGGAACAATTGATAATCTATTGACATTAATTATTTTTTTATAAAAGTAAATATTTAAGAAAATATTCACCGTCAGATTTCTAATAGCTTTCGCTATTACCGATATACTTTCATTATACTGGTAGAATCTTGAATACTTCTATAAAATTTATTTTAAATTTCTTTATGGTTCATTATCTGTGGCAAGTTGTCGTATATCAATGGCTTATACAACATTATAAACAACAGATTGGCTTCTGATTTTAATGTGTCTCGATCTTTATATGACATTAACGTTAAAGATAAACGTGTTATATTAACCCAAAATTAATTCGAAATATCGTTCTTATTGCGATAATGTGTTTTATGATCATCAATTCTCATCGTTGAATGTTTGGTTAATTGTAAAAACCTATCAAAAAAACGAGCCTGACGACCACCAAAAAAATAACTATAATAATTTTCTTCTTTTAATAATTTTCAAAATCCTAAGGATTTCCGCTACTCTAGAAACTTTCTGGTTCACGGTCGTCAGTGCATCAAGTATAGGAAAAATATTACATTCATAGACAATCGACATGCCTCTATCGATTCTACGTCTCTGAATTTTTTTCCAGTGGTACCACCGTTACAATTCACTGATCAGGAATATTATGTAGGAAGAGAAACGCACGATCCACCCACAGTGCTGTTTATTTATAATGCAGTATATTTCAATCAATAGAAATGCATTGGCATCGATTAATAGTTTTTGTACGAAAGTCGCGCCTCTCGTATAAAAGTCATTTTAAAAAAGAATGAATTTTCTAAATCAAACAAAATCTGCATAGGTGGTGTCTATGTGTTAATAATTTTACAAGCAAAGTCTTTATTATAACTGGTATCTATGATGACAATTTAACCTATTTACGACCCTTGTTAATAGTTAATGGGTGCTTCCACACAGGTCCGCCCACTTTATACAGAGCATCTTGCCGCGAAAAGTTCACTTTTCCCATCGTGCAGAACATCAAAAATAATCTAATGGTCTCGCTTACGCTTTTTTGAAAAAATATATGAAAAGTGGTTTTCTAGACACCTCAAGTTTTTCGTGAGGGTCAAACCGAAGTCGGTGAAAATGAACGAAACATTGCATAATTATATATCAAATTGTAGCTCTTGACGAGTTGATTCTAATGGTGAAAGAATTCAGCCTCGATTTAACTTTATATTCGAGTGGTACTCAGTTTACTTGAAAAATTCCTGAAGTTTGACGTCGATTTTCTCCTAAACGTTCCAAAAATTTTTCGAGATTTTTTCAGGATAGCAACTATTTAGTAGGATCTATAACTCTGTCCATACAACCACCTTCGACCCAATACACATT